TGGTTTTTGGTGTAATTTTAAAACAAATGACCAAATGAACAAACAAAAGTTTTATCTGTTGGGCCAAAAAGTGTAAAAATTTAATACAAGACTCCTGATTTATTGTTACAATTTGTTTGAAAACAATATTTTAGCTACATCATATTATTCTGTAATGATTACTATGATTAGAACTATACATTTTTTTTTCCTATACCCATGTAAATATATTATATAATATGTATATTATTTGGTTAGTGGTTTGCATAATATTTTTTTTAGTATACTGTACCTACTATAGTAATATATTAACTAAAGTAAACATATTAATAATTGCTTTAGTTTCAATGCTAATATAATTTTCATCTGATACTTTTATTATCCTATACATATCATAGTGTAATATAGGTAAATATAGCTAACTAGATGATATTATATATTTATATTAATATTGCAGCTATTTAAGTAATTTATTTTACTAATAGTAAATGATCTACTAAACTCGAGAATATTTTCTGCTTTGTGCAAAGAAATGGGGAGTGATCATGAATATCTTTTTTTACACTGTGAGCCGTGAGGTGCTATGGCTATCGAGAGGGAATGTCTTGAAAAGACTAATCGAATTGAAAGAAGATAATATTTAATATTTGAACATTGTTTTATTTTTTATTTTTATGGCCATGTATGTGTGTGTTAACATTTGTCAGATTTTCAATGCAGGGTTATAGATTACATTTACACGAATATACAAATTATTAGTGATATTTACAATAAAAAATATAACGAAATTCATATATACAAGGTATTTACAATATAACAAAATTCATATTTACATGGTAATTACAATATTTAACGAAAAATATATACATGGTAATTACAATATTTAACAAAAAATATACACATGGTATTTACAATATAACAAAAAATATATACATGATATTTACAATATAACAAAAAATATATACATGATATTTACAATTTAACAAAATATATATACATGGTATTTACAGTATATAAAATCTAACAATTACAGGCCTATTTACACATTATAAAATAAATATTAAAAGCTTATATATTTACATGAATATTTACAAGCTTTAGATTATTCTAACTTTAACAACTACATAAACGAATATAAACGTGTATACAGATTTAATCTAAAATGAATATGATTTTTATACAATGTATTTACAAATAAAAACATGGCCTAGTATTCGCTATCAGCCATCATTTCAGCCAACTCTGCATCTATAAAATTTATAAATAATTTAAGTTTATTGTTTTAAATAATAGTTATTTAAAAAACTTACTCTATTGTATAATGTCCATTGTCCATGAGCTAGGGTATGGATTTTGTCTTCTAGTACTATCCTCTTATCGTCATAATTATTGTATGTTATTTTGTTGGATTTGACTGTCGTCAATTGGTGGTTGAACGAACGTATACACATGTTCGGGTGTCTATTATCGTCATCCAGCCCATTACCTTCAAACAAGCATCGCCGGTGACCCTCAAATGTCATATGGTTCTTAACCACATGACCCCTAATACCTTTTGCTCGAATATTTTCCTTCACATTAATTCCATCCACGCCTAGGATTTTATACGCGTAAGATTTAGCACTGAGCGCATAAAACTCTGTCATAATAGGGCGATCAGTCTCATCCGAACACAGACCCGGGACCTTTTTTCTCTCTGCAATATAGCATGGATGGTCTCGTGGTAAGTTAGCTGTATCCATACGGTCAAGTAAATGGGTATTTTTTACAAGATCATCGTAGAAATCATCGGTTTGAATAAAATATACAAGTGAATCTGTAATAATGATTTTAAATAATATATTATGTATACACAAGATATTAGTTTTAATTTTACCCTTGTCAGTATACATAATCTTGATATTATCACCATAGTGCTTCTGCATTACATTTTAGCAGGGATGGAAAACGTTTTTAAAAAACGTTATTAAACGGAAAAAAATGAAAAACGAAAACGAAAAAAAACAAAAAACGAAAACAAAAACGTAAAACGGAAATAAATTATAGTATTATACATTATTTAATTATTTATAAAAAAAAATTTGTTATCGAAAACGGAAAAACCCGAAAAACTGATAATTCTGATAATATTGTTGACAATAAAATATATAAATAGCATATTTTGATTTAAAATTTAAATATTAAGGATAATTAATTTGAATTTTTAACTTTTAAGTGCATTTCTATATTGTGCGTTACTATTATATATAACTTAAAAGTTAAAAGTTACGAGTTATAAGCTATAAGAATATATTATATATATAAAAAAAAAAAATTATCAAAAACGTTATTTGGAAACAATAAGAAAATAACGTTTTTAAAAACGTTAATCAAAAACGTTTAAAAACGTTAAACAAAAACGATATTTTTTAAATCAATAAACAAAAATTAAAAAATAAAAACGTTTTCTATCCTTGCACTATAGTGATAATCATACACCAATGTCTTTGATATCCAACACTGCTAAATATGTAAAGAATGGCTATTAAATAATAATAGGGATAAAAACATGCTTGATATATACCGACATAAATAGGTTTATCGAATTTTGTAATTTTTTTCTCCAATGTTATTGCACTCAAGTTTTCATTATATGATTTTGCATATTTAAATGTGGACAAGTTGATCAGTTTTTGTACTCTAGCATCATTTGAAACAAGCTCCATATGTATCCTCCGTCTAATTTGTTCCATAGTCTTACCTATACAATTTTGAACGGGTTAGTGTAAAATAAAATAAACACACGCACACATACCATATAGATACATACCAAAAATACTATTATTCATAAGCTTGAAGAAATCTTTTTCAAAATCGTTCAAAGTATTTTTCCTCATCTCTGTATTCAAATTTATAAATTCAGCAAGCCAGGATGATTGGTTGCAATGGAGGACTCTATGCACCTAGAATAAAATTAATCATGTTGAAATGCTTAACGAGTATAAAATAATACATACTTTATCAACTATCAGCCCGTTTTTAATAGCTTGTTGGAGACTACGGTAATGTACGACATAATTTTTCTTTGACTCAAAAGTTGCCATAAGTTTTTTTACTTTTGAACCTGCAGGTATTCCGTTTTCGGGTAAAAATGGCAGATCATTATTTTTATCGTGCAGATAACGTTACGTATACGGTACGTTACGTCAACCTCATACATCCGTCCTATGGGGAGGTATCATCCAAATTGTTAAGTCCATCTAGTTTGGCATTAACCCACTTAAAACCTCCAATTGGCATGTACTGACTCATAGCCCATCCGTATAGGTTGTTACCTGTGAAGTTTAAAAAAAATAAAAATAAATAAATACAATTTTTGAAAAAAAATTTGAAAAAATTATACTTACAATCTTGTCATATAAGCCACTTCCCTTGCGTGTCATCATAATCAGGTACCTTCGGGTTATTGGCTTTAGCATAGCGCATGCTAGCCTGTATCAATCCACCTCGTATACCTATAATATAATTTATTTTTATAACATTTAAAAACTAATTTTTCTAATTTACCTGAGGCCGTATAGTAAAAAGCTGGGTCTAAATTGTACGTTTTCATGCATAGATCGCGGAAATTTTCGAAAACGTCCACGAGCAACAGCACATCCACTTTCAAGTACAAATCAGAATAATCACCAAGCGTTTGGCACCCAAAGTGTCTCCACACCTATATAGCATGATCGTAATTCTTGTCCTTTATACCTTTCTCCTTAAGGGTGCTATAAAAATCATGTTTCGATGGTAAACTTAGCTCGCCCAACTTATCCCAGCCATCCGTATACTCGTATGGATATACACCCTTGCGGGTGGCAAAAGACATATCACCGGCCTCAAAATATTTTGCAGTCTCGCGGAATTTCGAAAAATCTGGAGTCAAGAGGTTTTTTGCGAGACTCCTCAACTTTGACATCATAAACCTACACGTGTCTACAAACAGTATGGTAAACGTCCTACTTATATATTTTGAAAATGTTATAAATTTCTCTTCGCTATTTGCAATAACCCTAATACTGTAAGCGTCATTTGCTAACTCAGTCACAATGAAATGAGCGTCATAATTAGACAAATTATGGAAAAATCATGGGACGAATTTTGGTTGTTTTAATTTTAAATTACAATGGGTCCATAATGATTGCCTAAATCTACCAGGCAGGTGACAATGATTGCGAACTTTTTCAATAGTGTCGAAACTAAGTTTACAAAAATTGCAATTTTTATTAGTATTATGTTTTCGCGTATCATCGTCACTCATAACTATAGGTATATTGGTCTTTAACAATTCCTCGATTTTATGGCCACGTCTACGATATTTTCAAGAAAATGTCTGGCAACATCCTCTCGACTACTACTGCCACGATGAACTACCGGTGCGGTTGGTATATTAAATCGCTTAATAAGCGTTCACAGGATATTTTCACCGTATCGGATATTTTCTCGATCCGGTGTCTTTCGGTTTGAGTGTTCAGATGGTACGGTAATTTAACCGTACACCGTACTCAACCCTACACCGTACTCGGTTTTCAGTTGCATTCGTATCGTATGTGCATCAAGACTCGTGAAGATGGACTGTAATACATTTATAGTAATACTGGTATATACTGGTATCGCAAGTATCATCAACAGCAACGGATTTCAAATCGAAGATTCTGGGTACATCCTATTGTGAGACAAAGGAATATTTTGGGCTCTTTTAATACGCTAATGTGTCAATTACGTCAGGACGAAACAAAATTTTTTAATTATTTTCGAATGTCGATGACCTATTGAGAAGAGTAGAAATTAGTTTGACAAGGCAAGACACAACTATGAGAGCAAGCATCAGTCCAGAAGAAAAATTAACCATCTGTTTAAGATAAGTTATATAGTTTTATTTTTGTACTTCTTCATATTTTAATGAAAATAATAACTTTTAACAAAATATAATAAGTAATAATAATAATAACAATATACTAATTTAATAATTATAATAATGATTAATATATTTAGCTCTAAATTATATCAGCAAAGTCGTATTCCTCGGACTCTTGACTTGTGGTTGACATTACTGAAACTGGTGCTGAAATCACACTTTCTGGGCTAGCTGTTGGTTGGTGTACGGTTATGTTCTGGAAATATGGTTGACGTTGTTGAGGCAGTGGGAGAAATAATTCATAATTATAATATTCATAATTTGGCCACGGATAATTATTTTGCATAGGATTTGGTGTTTGTAAATTGTGTTGGTCATTGTATGCGTATTGCGAGGTTTTCTTTTTAATATTTTGTAACAACGACATGACGCCCGCTTGGAATTCTAAAATTTGATCCTCATTAAGTGATGACATGCTAGGCAGAAGGCCTCTGAAAAATGACAAATGACGGTTTTCTTCGTTCCTTGGTATCTGTATTTGGTGATCGATAAATTTTAACATTTTTGCATCCAATTCACCCGACGGATCTGACATGCGCTTCTTTTGTGTACCAGAAATACTAGGTTGGTTAGCTGGTGATTCATTAAAAAGGTTTTTTTCCCTCTCATCAGTTTGGTGTGATCCTTCGTTTTGCTCAATCGGACCATTCTCAGCGCTTTCTTGAGCAGTTGTTGAGTCCATTATTTTTTTTGAAAAACACATTTGATTATGGTACGAATACAATGTATGATGGCTTGGCAGAAGATCCAGATCTTTTTTCATCTTTTTGTTTTTTCATCGATTTCATCCATGAATCTCTTGTTTGGGTCCATTTATTCAAAACGATTTTACCTGGTTTTAATGATTTAAATGATAATTAAATTTTTATACAAATATAATTATTTATTTTTAATTTTTTCTCGTAGGTATTTAGCGTCTGGGTGTTCATTTAAAGATCTTCATTATTCCTATCGAATTGGTATTTAAACAATAAGCTACATTGTAAGAGAAGTCACAACAAATATATGGGCCAATCTATATAACGAATTTATGCAATTACCAACTACATCTACGGCCTGGGAACAAATATCGAATGGTTTTCAATCAAGGGCCAATTTTCCACACTATATTGGTGCTGTTGATGGAAAACATATAAGAGTAAAAAAGCCTTCAAATAGTGGATCGATGTATTTCAACTACAAGGACTATTTTTCAATTATAGTATTAGCCGTTGTAGATTCGGAATACCGGTTTATATAATATGTGAGTGTCGGATCGTATGGAAAAGACTGTGATTCTTCAATTTTTAAGGGAACGACATTTTGGTAAAAGTTGACAGAAAATGCATTGCACTTACCTATACTGAAAAGTATTAAACCAGTATTAAACGTGTATTTAACTATCGATTAACTAGAGCTAGAAGATATGTAGAATGCGCTTTTGGTATCCTGTCATACAAATTGCGAATATTTCATAGACCTTTAGACGTAAATGTAGAAACAGTTATCTGGGTAGTAAAAGCATGCACAGTATTACATAATTTTGTCAGACAAAAAGATGGATTTGATTTTCAAATATTTAAAATCAACGATACGGCAAAACAGCCGATTCGGGATCGTGTGAACGGGCTCTAACAGGTATGTCTTCGGACGCCTTGACTAAAACGAATAACTCATAGGCTTGTGGTCATGTATTAAAGTCGTATGTTTTCCCCTTTTGTCATTAGTCTTTACCAGCAACGCTTCAAAATCTGCGTAAATAGTAAACGGGTGTCGTTGAGCATGTTGTCAGTTTTCAAATTCAAGAATCGGCTTATGTGCTCCACAAAATAATTGATGTTCCTCAAGTGCTGCCCACCCGCTTAATTTATATTTTAATGTTTGATCGTCGAATGACGTAAAGCAACGTTTACAGAAATATTTTGAATGACCGTGTTTAGTTATTTGTGAACTTCGGTGTATAAAATTAAATCGAAATGATCGGCTTTTTCATTTTCTACGACTTTTAAAGGAAAAAAGTGAGGGCTTGGATATTTTGAAGATGGCTGTGATATTTTTTTGTTTCCATCAGTATTTATTGAGACCGTAGGATTATTTTTTCGAATATAGTGATGTTTATTTGGGCCTGTCACGTGCTTAGCTAGAATGGCCCATTTAAAACAATGTTTATCACTGTTCTGCGGATTGATCGTTGCCCCCCTTTTTGTAACAGAATTATAAAGCTTAATATAAGACGACGAGCCAGCTACACTATTAAAAATATCTGAAAGATTTTCACATTGATCCATTGATTCATTTTGATGGTCATTATTTAACGTAGTATTAGTACACGGGTTGTCATTCACGTCATCTCGTTCATTATCAAAATTAATAACAGGCAGACCAATGTTAGAATTGTTTCCCATGGGGGTATACTTGTAAACTGTTAATAAAAGCCCATCGATGGATTCTAGTACATACCCACTACCCTTTGCCGCATAAATTTCCTTCTCGTGTAATAATGTAGCAAACGCCTCCTCTATTAATAAATCTATATCAGAATCTAAAAAAATTTCTTGGGCTGCCGTCTTGAATGACCTATTTTGCGAGGTGTTTTCTATATGTGGTTGGTTATATGTAGCTTCAAGTTTTAAATTTAATTTAATAGGATTGACACTAACAATTATTCTCAATAATTCGGGCTTTACATAAGCGAGGAATGAAGTATAATTTTCGAAATTGTTCAGATTTTTAGCATAATACCATACGATTTTTCAACTATGTGCGGATTTAACCTCAACCAAACCGGATGCATTAGCCTTATCCATACGAGCCTTTTTCGGTTTAATGCGGCTTCTTGTATTTTCTATGTGAACGCGCTTATTCCCTACAGTAGTCATATAAGAATCTACTAAAAAAAAAAAAAAAAATAAATAAATCTAATAGAGAAAAAAAATCTTACCTGACACATCGCATGGTCTAGCATTGTCAAGCACTTCAGCGTACATTCCGTCGTTTAATACATCGTTTAGCATATTATCTGTTGATAATATAATAATAATACAATATATAATATATAATACACTCTTAGCCTTATTTGATGTACCTGCTGCTAGGTCCGGCAATACACTATTCGAGGAGGCCTCAATTACAACGCGTTCAACAGCTTATAAAATAAATATTGAATTAAATATAAATTTTAATCCACACCCAATAAATAAAATAAAACTAATAGCTTAAAATATTAATACTGAAATAAATATTAAAATTAGACATACCATGCACATTTTTTAAATGTCTATTGAGAGGCCACTTGTAGCTGAATGTCGACGAGCAGAAAGAGCACGGGAAACGAACATCATTGTGATTTTTTTGGTGAGCAGTCAAATTACCTCTTAATGTAAACGTGGATGGACACTGACGGCATTTATACATTTTTTAAATTATATAAGGTAAATAGCACAAGAAAAAATAAATACGATTAAAAATTAAACACAATGAGTTAGGTGTAAATAATGTTGAACAAAATATAAACAGTGAAATAAAAACTCACTAAAAATATTTGAATGGCTTAGTTCGCAAACGAAAAATATACGTGTACAACGGTTCAAGACGGAATACTTACTAAACGAATGTAGGCTCTTTCAGGTAATTTTTGAATATTATAGAATTTTGTAGTACGCATGCGCTAGTGGTATGAAAGGAGTGGTCATCTGAACCGCTGTACCTTTAATTGTTATTTAACAATAAATACTTTACACGTATAGTGTCTGGAGCCAACTGTATGCAGGGTATATCGAATGATCAACGCCGGTGGCCGTCTGAGCGGATGTATATTGTCCCTTAACCGAATAATAGACGGTGGGTATATAGGTAACCCTGATGTCGTTCGCTTTCGGTCGAACATTCACTTTGTGATTTTCTTGTTATATATTTTTTCGCGCATTTTATAAAAACGACCTGCAACGCCTTCTCCGTCTACAACACCGGGGGTATACGCGTTGAATCTGATAGACAACATGTTATTTTCTCCTTCACCGCCACGACAATCACAGATAGACGAATGGCTTCGATCTTTATCCCCTATATCTCCTAGTGTGTGCAGCCAAGAGGCCTTCTAGATTGGATACATAGCTAGGTGGGAGGGGAGGGGGTAGATTTGTAACATTGGTAGGGGTCTACCTTTATGAATATCACCTTCCTTGTTGTGCGCATGCGTTAATAAAGAAACTCGTGTGAAGCCAAGAGGCCTTCTATATTTTATACATAGATAGGTGAGTGTAGATTATTAACATTGGTAAGGGTCTACCCTTATGAGTAGCACCTGCCTTGTTGTGCGCATGCGTTAATAAAATGCACCTAGCGGGCAGGTGAACCGACAATTGTATGCGCATGAGTAAATATAAATATTATGGTTATACCCATTATCACGCAAGCGAGATTTCTGTTAACTGGGGTAAGATATCGTCATGGGTGTATGTGGTATGACAGCTCAGTGGTAAATCAATCATCTGGTAAGCGATAGGTTCGAACCCCGGTCCTGCAAATTGGTTATTGTCGTTTTTTTTCAAAAATAAAAATATAAATCGCGTACGAAGTGTGGCGGGGAAAATACATGTCGCACACGTAAGGGAGGTGCCACCGGTGGTCATAAGGGTCAGTGTTTTCGAATCGGCTATTATATCCTACTCATGTGTTTATGTTAAGATGTTAAGTTGTTTTGGTTCTTGGGCTACAGCTCATTTGCGCCCCAGAGTAGCACATTTGCTCCCCGAGGGATGGGAACAGATGCGAACGAAATATAAGGTACTTCCTGCCGATTTATAGCCCATATGCGCCCATTTTACATACAGTGTTGCCGTTGTGATTCATAAAATGGATTATTTATATCTTGATAGATTCTTAGATTAAGTAGATTAGTAGATTATAGTACTTTAATAATAATTATCTAAATAATACAGCTTAAATTAAATAATTTATTTAAAAAATAAAAAAATACTTAATTTAATATTTAATTTCACAATTTCACACTAATTTTTAATTACTGTAGTCAAATTTACCTCACATAAAATGGTATAAATAAAATAAAATAACATAAATAACATATAATGAATTATATTATATTATATTATAATTGAATTAAAATGTTTGTGGAAAGACTCGGCAAAATTGGTAGTTCGCGGTGCTTCCGAAGGTGGTTCAGCCCAAACTGATGGTGGAAATTTACACCCAATAATAATATAATTACAGTGGAACCTCGATAAGTCGAAATTCAAGGGAAATGCAATTTTTTCGACTTATCAAGGTTTTCGACTTACTAAGGTTTTCGAGTTATCAAGGTTTTAGAAAAAAAATTCGACTTAAAGAGTTTTAAAAATGTATGTACCTATGTATTAAAGTTTTTAATTATTATGTACCTAGTATATATGTTTATACAATGTGAAAAAATGTGATTATACAGATTATTTAAATAAAAAAATTATTACAAAAAAATATAATAAAACATGTGTTGCAACTTTATAAAAGATAATTTATTATTTTACTTTGACTTAAAATTTGAGATTTGCTATTATCAATTGTATTTTCTATTACATTTAAAGCAGAGTACACTTTATCGTCCACATTACTCAATTGTTCGGTGAATGTCCTTAGCAATATGAGGGCTGCTGTTGCTTGCTTCATTGAAACAATGAAGATTAGATAAAATTATCGGAACGGACAAGCCGATTAGACAAATGTTTATAAAATTATCTGTCATTATCCGTCATATTCGGAGCACAGAATGTTCGAGTTATCTATAGTTTT